TACCATATAAGGAGCCGATTCTTTCAATTTAGATAGTATCACAAGTTACATCTAGTTGTTACTTGTGTGCTATTCAGACAATTATTGTATCTTTGATAAGTAGTGTAGTATAATCTCTGTTTCTAATGCATCCGAAATAATGTTAACGAATAGTATAGAACAATATTGTTTTGCTTAGCTTTTTTTAGTTCTTTTAAGATGCATTAGTGCAAACTAGGAGGCGAAAACATTGTCACTTTCAAGTGTTTTGGCGAGCACTATGGTAGAGAAACTGATGAGAACAGTTTCTGTTTTATTTAAAGTTCTACTAAACTATGCATATTTACTAGGGATGTGCAGTTTCAGTATACTGAACACCCACTCAGTGCACCATTGGCGCAGCGAATACAGACATTCGTGACGAACCGCTTCAGTGCTTACTGAAGCACTGAGTGGCAGTGTACACTGAAGATCAGAGCACCGGTCAGAGACCGAAACGGGGTGGATTTTTCACTCCCCGCCTCGCCCCACCCCGACTTCGGCGAATATTCAAGTACTGGTACGGGGCCCGGTCGGAACGGTGCACTGGTGGTACGGGCCCCATGGGGACCGGTGGATCGGGGCCCGATCCACCGGTGAAAGCCGGAAAGACTACGAAACATCTACAGTGAAGGCCGGTGCAATGGCACTACCAGATCACACTGATAGAGATATCTGTGAATCTTAGAAAAAACGGACCTTCACCGTAGGTGTTTCGTAGTCTTTCCGGCTTTCACCGGTGGACTGGGCCCCGGTCCACTGTTTCACCGGTCCGATCGGGGCCCATGCCACCTTTTCACCGATCTGACCGTGCCCCGTACCACCGTTGCATTCCTAATGGTACACCTACAATTTCTAAATGATTAGAATTATTATACAGATTTATTAGTGTACTAACGAGTTTACAGTAGCGGCCGATAAAAAAGGCGCCATAGCTCCTAGCTTTTGGGATTAAGTAACTTCAATCATAATTAAAATGGATTTAGTACGTTAAGATGTACTCAGCATTTGATCCGAATCCTCGAAAAAAGATTCAACATCTTGTTGAATTAAATAAAGATTGTTTCTCATAAGGGAGTTTAGAATTATGTTACAGTGATTTTTTATTCTTGTCCAAGTTTTTGTACCAGTAACAAGAGATCGATGAACCCTATTCAGCATTTCAGATAGAGGTTGTCAACTAGTGTTTATCTATCCAACAACCATATTAGCATAATTGAGTTTGAAAATAAAATAAACTTTTTTCGTTCAATCTGTTAGGAGGGTCTATAGTTTTGGTAATCCTTGTAATTAACTCCAAAAACAATAAAAAAAATTATTGAAATATTGCAATCTTCTTCAATGAAAAATCTTTTCGAAGTCCAAATATTGCCTTTCGGAGATGTCGCAATAATCTGTGTAATAATTCTAATCATTTAGAAGTTGTCGGTGTACCAGTGCTTGAATGTTCACCGAAGTCGGTGAGATCGGTGCACTGATTTTCAGTGTACACTGCCATTCAGTGCTTCAGTAGGCACTGAAGCCGCCTTTCACCGATGTCGGTGTATTCGGTACGTCAGTGGTGCACTGAGTCAGTGTCACTTATATCGGTTTTTCAGTATTGTCACCGACACTGCACATCCCTAATATTTACATAGTTATCTATTCTCGGATAGAGCTAATGATATATATGAAGAACTGCTTTAATTGTATGACTGCACAGAGAAACGATTTCACTACCAATATTCTTGAATATTTGACGTAAGGATGCTTATATTTCTCCTTTATCTCTATATTTTTATTTTAGATAAAAAAAATATTTATTTATACGATTTTGCATGAATTCGATTTGCATTGGTATTATTCTTATTTTTCTGTTGGTGTCAACTCAATCCTATACATTACCACCATCTTCGACAGAAAGTCCAAATAATAATGATTGTGTTGGTACAGACTGTTTGTCAACTGAATCCGGTGAACAAGTGCCAGTGGTTGAGCTAACAACCACAGGCAATACCAAAGATGCGTATTTATGTGAATGTTCTCAAGAGTCACATGAAACTTCTCGCGATAAAGCAGACGATTCTTCTGATGAGTGTACAAATATTTGTACTACCGCTTTAGAGATGAACCAATTTCAAGGTAAATATTGGATCTTGTACTTTAACATGTATATGAAACGCTCTTTATAAATGATACGACAATTACATTCATACATAATTCATGTATAGATATGTACAATGCGACGCAGCTTAAAGTTATTTTGTTCGCATTTATAGTTTTGATAAAATATTTTTTTGAACAAATCAACTGAAAAACTTTCTTATTATGCTTTCTAGAAACTACAACTCTACATTCTCTTATCGATGAAACTGACTTCGATATTGATAACAATGTTTCTCTTACACCAAGCAATAAGGTAACAAAGCTATATGACTAAAATCATAGATTCTTGGTAAGGGAGAATGACGTTGTTTGAATTGTCTATAATAAGTGATTAAGAACATGATAATTCTAATGATACCTTGAACATATTTTCTCAACACCAATTATATCAATTCCAATGAAATCTATCACATGTATCGTCACAGAAAATAATTGAACTAGCTGCATTAATATTTACTTTATGCATTAATACCAAACAAAATACAAAAATGGGTTTTCAAGTATTAGAGGCATAACAAACGAAATAATAAAAAACGAACAACAATAGACCACCTTTTAAAAATAGTGCCTCTAGTAAAAAGTGCAAAAATAAATAAAATTTTCAATTTTCGATTGGTGTATAGAGTGTAGTCTGATACATTATTTCAATCAGGCTAGATAATGCATACATATGTCAGTGTCACTGGGACTGCCCTTGGAAATTTTCTAAAGTTTGACACTATTAAACAAAACGCATTCAAAAATTTTAAGGCAAAACCACATATGAGTTCAAAAAGAAGTAACTTATATATACGACATAGAAATAAAAACGGAAGCTATGTTCAAATACCAAACAATAGACTGAATCTTTAATTTTTCAGAATCATTGACAAGAAAACATCATTACATAGATGATAAGAATCACTTAATTCTCTTTCTCGTCTAGAGTCGAATTTGGTTCTACATTAATGGTCTGAACTTTGGCGTTGAGGCAGAGAATTCGAATTTGATTCATCCAAATGACATTGCAGCTCTGAACTATTACCGTCGTGCTTTTGATCGGTACAAGGAAGGAAATGATACTAATTTTGAGAAAATACAAACTCGCGTACGACATCATTTATTGAAAACTTATGGCTGGGAAATGGCTGACGTTGAACGTCTTCTTCAATGGAAATGGATACCACATGACAAGAATGGTTTTCGATTGGCTGGCTTGCCTCTGAAAGTGCCAGTACCTAGAGTAAGTAATCTCTTCAAGGATCTATTTTCTAAGAAATTTGAAAATATCATTAATACTTTTAAAAGAACGGAAAAGTATATTCTACTGTTGGAGGAATTTCGTTTCATGAGAATGGATCTTTCTGGTTCAATTTGATGGAAGCAAAAGATAAACCTGCTTTGTTTAATTCGGATGATGTAGAATTGGTAATGAAAAGGGGCATTACAAGTATGGATATGAAATACCTTCTTTTGGATATTTTTTTATGGTTGTTTTCTAATAAAAATAGGTGCATCTTTCTCATTGGATCCTCCTCTCAATTCTGATATTCCGCATCCATTTCAAAAAACTACGTGGATACCCCATGATGCTCTTGCTGGCACAGATTTTCTCTCAACACTCCTTCATGCAGACCTATGGTTAAAGAATATGGATGTTCGAATGGAGATGTCTGATCGGTTTCCCTTTCATATCCGGCCTATTCATGAAAATAGTTCATCAGCTCCATCGAGTGATTTATATCAACGCTTATTGAAAAAGGACGAATTGAAGGATGATGTAGTCTCTTCTGCCACTAGAGTATGGATTCAGTCGGGTCCAATTAAATATAATCGAATAGAACAAGATAATATTACAACTTATATTCTCGGTCCGCCGAATATGCAGGTGAAATATGAAAGTTATATTAGGTATTATATTAAAGTTGGTGTGAAAAATCACTGTTTTGTTTCTAATTTACATTACAGACAAGTAAAGAACAACGTAACCGGTCTAATTGATACATACCTAGGTGGCTCTTCTCCATGGCATGATCATTTCACAACAATACTGACGGACAACTATAATGAATTTGGCTACTACTTTCCTGAATTTTTGCGTCTAGGGGAATTAAGCAAATTGATTGGAGTTGCTTTGATTTTTCAACATCATTATCGTAAATTACGAGAGATTCTTTCACCAGCATCGCTCGATGTAAGTGTTATGGAATGACTTTAATTCTCTCTTTTTTTTATACAAAACATGATTGATTTTTTCATTTTTTCAGTCAGTTGCAAAAGATTTGAATACCAGCAATTTGAGAAAGCAAGTGTTTAATGGAGTATGGCCATTAGTAACAGATGTACGTGTTGAGAATGCATTAGATCGACTGATCTTGGAACAAGGATTTCAACTTTCCAATAAGCACAATATTCAAAATCTCGGTACTGCTCGTCTTCATATACGTGAACAGTTGACCAAACTTCAAAACAATCAGATCAAAAAGATTGCCGAAGCAATTTCAACGGCATTCAATATTTCTGTACATGCAATCAGCAGCACGGCTATCGATACCTATCTTAGAAATGCTAGTGCAGACGCCGAAAATGCTCTTCTGAACGAGATCGTATCAGGTTATAGTTGATCTTGTTTTAGATAGAAAAAGAGCCGATGAAAAAGATTATGAATAATTCTGATCGGATCTCATACGCCTAAATAGCTATCGAATCATTTCAAATATGAAGTTGAAATTTGCTCTTTTGTAGGACTTTTCGTTTTTAGAAATTACTACATAGCATTCGGGTTTCACTGAAAAATGAAATGTTTCTTTTTTTAAATAAGTCAGTAAAATAAAACATATATTTACTTCAGAAAACTTATGAAAAATCATGAAATGATTACCATTGTTCATGTAGGTGTTGCCGTACGTCTGAAAACGTCTCCTCCAAAAGAATTACGTCTGTACAACGCAATGTCACAGTCAGGATATGACGTTGGCAATACAACGAATGAGCTACCCGAATTTGCACAATTATCAGTCGGCAAAGGAATAATGACAAATCATAATCCAACAAATCGATCGTCCTGTTATTATATTCCAACAATTGTTTCGCGTATTATGCGAAACTCTGGAAAACATATTCTTATACGTGGTGGCATCAGGATGCATCCATTATTAAACTATGATCATCATCTTGGCAACACTTTCCATCCATGGAGGTTTTACGATGGTAATTGAAATTTTTAATCGATATGTTCATTAATTAATTCATTATTCAATCAGTTCTTTAATGACTGTATGTGCAGTAGATCTTTGAGAATAATTTCAAATATATTGACAGAACAAAACTACTAATATAAGTACTTTAAATGATAAAGCATGACATTGTAAAAGAATCTTCTTGACAATCTTAATTTGTATCAAAACTGATTCTATCCATAGTTCTTAGTCGTGTTAACTAGCCTTAGACATTTTCGAACTGTATAAATAGTTAACGTACAATTAGTAGCAAGTTGATATTGAAAGTAGCTTTGATAGGATAGATCTTTTGTTGTAAAAAGTATTATTTGTCAAAAGAAACCGATTCTCAAAAATTACATCAATTTTTCATTTTACTTTAATCAAGTATTTCTTCTCTTTCTTATATAGGATTATCCAACTATGGTTCTACTCGTTCAATGCTTTTTCTAAAAGGTCCATTTCCTTTTCTGAATACAGACATATCGTTTAAACGTGTTAAATATGGAAGTGGCACACGAGCTCAATATGGTCCAAGTTATTCAGGTCATACTGGGCTAGCCGATTATACTGGTTGGAATACTTTAATTCTACAACAAAGAGCGACTGTTGATGATAAAATAATACTAGGAGCAATGAGTAAAAATGAAGGAAAATTAGAAAGTGTTCAATCCTACGATAGTGAAATAGTGTCAGTTGGTGCAATGCAAAAAACAATCAGTAGCAAAGGTACTGGTGAATTTCCAAAGCAAGTATGGAAATTTAAAGAGCAATATCCAGAACAATATAAAGAACTTTTCGAAAAACACGGTTGGGTAGTTACGAACAATGCTCAAGTCTATTCGATGTCATACAATGGACTAACTGGTAACGAATTGAAAAACTCAATTCGAAAAGATTTTCAAAAAGAAATTGAAGCAACTCGTTCAAAAAACAATGTAGCTGCTTCAAAACCATTAGAAGCATTGGTTAAGGCAATGAATAATAAGGAATTTCAAGAAATGCAAGTACTTGATTTCATTGATCGTTTACATAAACAAGTGTTACCAATAAAACCAATTGGCTTTGAATCCTATACACTCGACGATTATTTAAAATCAAATTTTGGGAAAGCTGTAGTTCTTGATCAACATGTTAATAGACCTGGATATGTGAAAGCAGATTTTGGAAAGGCATTAGAACATTTGTTTACTAAATATCCGGATCTTTCAAAGGATCCTGCAAAATGGGGACCGAATCGTGAGAAATACGAGGCTGAACTAGTTGACTACTATGGAACACATCGAAGAATGACTGATGCTGCCAAGAGATATAGCGAGTTAAAAAATGAGTTCTAAAAAGAAACACACACGAACATAATATTCGTAATAAACCCACCCTTTGCATGATTTTAATCTCGAGCAGTCCTTATTAATCTAAATTAATATTTCATTGAATTTGCTTGACTAATATAATATTTCATATAAACTGGGAATAAAATAGAATATGCAGAAGTGCAAAACTTTCATTTATTCAATCTTGTAATCTTCAATATCAACAATAAACAAAGAAGTTTTATTTTATTTATTATGTATTAAATAATAAATATGTCAAAATAATTTATATTTGAAATAAATTAAATTCGTTATTACTTGTATTTAAGATATATAAATTGAGACCCATAGTAGGGGATCAGTTTTTGACGAAAATAATTAGTGCAGCCTCTTTGGGGATAAAATATGGCACTCACATCGGCTCCACAATTTCATTATATTAACACCGATACAATATACGTAAAGTAAAACAACTGTATCACCTCATACGTAGTTGTTTTCGAATACAGTCGATCAACATGAAAATAATGTATTTCAGTTCTCTTTGTATTTTAATAAAATATTTTTTTGTCTTGCTTTTGGTAGGCGCGCTCTATAACCGTTGGCGTGTACAGGATTTACTGCCGCGGGATTTACTGCCGTAAACAATTTTCATAAGGCGCGCTTTGCTTTCATGCGAATTCTACAAAAAAAGTTAATTAACATATTTATTAGTTCACAACTTTTTCTCATTTTATGTTCTTTTTTTTTTTTTTTTTTTTTTTTTCCCCTTGCTCTTTTTAAGGATTTAAGCGATTTAGGAAAAAGAAAATCATATGGAATAGCTGCTTGATTTGTATTTTAGGTCGAATGTGCTCTTTTTGTAACAGGAAAAAACGATTTGAATGTTATTCTGCTTTATAGGATATAATATTCGTGTAAAGAATGAATTTTCATGGTTCAGTACTGAATTGCTCTTTTAGCATTAATCGAATAAAAAAAAATTAAGTAAATCGACTCTTATGGTGTCGTTATATACATGTTTATGCTGTGAGTTGTAGTGGGCTAGATGAATCAAATTGTTTTATAAATTCATCAGAATTTAATACGTTATGATAAATATTCTTGTTTCGAAATACAATACCAATTTTATGTAAAATTATAATCAGGGATGTGCGGCCCATGGTGTGCAGAAGGTGTGCACCCCTCCACGTTTAAAAAACTTTTAGTTGTTCCGAGCGAAAATCATACATTATAGTCAAAAAAAAGATCACAAAATCGAAAAGGAATGTTTTTTATCCCTCCACGTTTTTTTTGAAGCACATCTCTGATTATAATGTAATATATTGATTAATATAATATAATAAAAATGAATCAATGTATCATATCACATAAAAAGGGTTAAAAAATGATGATAATTAAAGGGAAAAAATAGCAAATAAAATCTATACAACTCATGAGATTATATCTATATATGACAGATTTGATAGAATTTTAGTTTTCTTGAAATAAATTCTTTAATAAAAATAATTGTATATCATAATATATGATATAGTTACACAACAGTATTAATGTGAATACTGAATCATTTATTTTAATTTGAAATTCCTTGACTATTAATAATATGTTCTTAAATTTTGTGGAACTCACATATATTTTCGAAGAAAATAGTGAGTGTAAGTTTTAAGGTCAAGTTTTTGCGGCTCCTCCCCTCCCCCCCCCCCCATTACAGACACATAGCAACGAAAAAAAAACATTGCATGAATCCCCCCCCATTACAGACACATAGCAACGAAAAAGAACATTACATGGACTCCCCCCCATTACAGACCATAGCAACTTCACAAAAAAGGTTCTACTCGAAGCATATAAATGAAAAACGACAACATTTCCTAACAATCAATTATCATTAGAAAAGAATTATCGTCTCTGAGAGAATTTAAACATTATATATGTTGCCATCAGCAAAGTGAAAGTAAAGAAGATATGTGAGTTCCACATTTCAGCCCCAAAGGGGCTGCGCTAACAAGCTTTTTTAAGCAAAAAAAATACATATAAAGTGTTATTACAATTAATGGGCAAACATTTGAATATATAAAGTATTGATTTTACAGCAGCAA